TGGGGGCGCGAGGGAACCTGTGCGGGCAGGACGGGGGCAGCGGGCGCGGAACCGGGCCGTGAAGGGACCGGGGAGGAGCGAGGAGAAACAGCGCAGCGGGGAAGGATGGACTCAGCAGTGAAAAGACACCAGGCACCAAGGACGGGGCTGGCACATCAATGGTATTAGTCTCCTATGGAGCAAGGCAGCGCACACCTGTGTTTGCCATCTTCTCCACTTCTCTTTTTGGCAGCAAGCAAAGGGGGTTGACCCCCAAAGGCGGCCTGTTTCACGTGATTTGCAGATAAAGCCTCAGGTGGCCGGTTCAACCAGACAGCAAAGACAAGCAACATCTCCCACTAATCCCTTTTCAGCAAGGGATTCAGCATCCTGGGTGACCAGCTCGGAGGCACTCAACATGCGGCGGTCACAAAGAGAACGACTGCAGAAATGAACGGGGGCAGCAGCAGATGTGGGGAACCTGGATATGAAATGACAGGAGAGAGAGGAGAAAGAGCGCAGTGGGGAGAAGCTAGGCAGCACCACACCGTAGCTCAGGCTTCAGAGTGTGAAAGACTGTCAGTGCTCAACCCTTTTGCGAGCAGGGCAGCACCACACCGCAGTTCGGCAAGATGACCCTGAGAGCAGACAGCGGAGACCTCCCGGCCCTTGCCCGCTACAGGCCCAAATGGTGCCTAAGGGAGAGCTGCAGATGGAGGCCCATGGACCTTGCCCACAGCCAACCCAAATGGCACCTTAATGGAGGACTGCAGATGGATGCCCATGGACCTCACCCACTGCTGACCCAAACGGCACCATAAGGGAACGGAGCAGAGACTTCCAGGCCTGACTGCTGCTGATCCCCTGGATCACCGGTACTTGACAGAAACTACGAGCCAGGCTACTACGACTACTGTTATATCCATTCTGCACCTGTACCATGCAGCTGAACACCAGGCCAACCCCTGATGCTCCATATCACCCTGTAGCTCCACTCCGTCCCTGCTACACCCACAGCAGCCTGGCTGCAACATGCAACAATGCTGCCTCATGCAACCACCCTTTTCCCCCCCACTCCAACTCCAAATGCTGAGGATCACATTTGAAACATAGTTAGCCATGTTAGTCTTCAGACAAATAGAAGGAAGGGTAGATTTGTACCTTATAGACTAACCGAAATAACTCTATACACACTTGTGCGCGCGCGCACACACACACACACACACACACACACACACACACGTGGGTACCACACTTCAACAAGGTCGTGGTAAATCTTGAGAGTGCAGAAAAGAGCCACACGTATGATCATAGACTTGCACAGCAAGCCATACAAGGAAAGGCGGAGGGACCTGGGGCTCTTCAGCCTAAAGAAGAGAAGGGTGAGAGGGGACTTAGTAGCAGCTTACCGCTACATCGGGGGCTTGGCGAACAACTGTTTACCAGGGCACCCTTGGGGAAAAGTAGGAGTAATGCCCACAAACTCCAGAAGACCGTTTCAGGCTTAACACTAGGAAAAACTTCTTCACAATCAGCGTGTCCAGCTCTGGAATAAACTCCCTCCAGACTGGGTGCCATCACCTACCCTGGACATCTTCAAGAGGAGACTGGATGGTCACCTTGCTGGGGTCACCTGACCCCAGTTGTCCTTCCTGCCTAGTGCAGGGGGCTGGACACGATGATCTTGCGAGGTCCCTTCCAGCCCCTGACAGCTATGAATCTAAGAGAGGATGTTAAAAAATCATAGTTATTTACACAACTTTGTAGAGTTGGAAGAGAATATAAGGCCCCCTCCGCGCACAAAAGGCCACAGTAATCCCAGCAGGGATATGGCCCAAAAGACACAGGACTTAGACTTAGCAGTCACTGCCTTTGGCTTCTCAAATTCTCCCTCTTGTTCTAAACTAGTCTCTTGTATTCAGACAGGCAGAGCAATCACAGGCATTGGGCCACCAGATGAAGCCATGACAGACTGGGGCAAGGATCTAGTGTTGGAATTTAGATTAAAAGAGGAAACCACATTTGGGATTTCTGCAATTAAGCCCCACTTCCACGGAAGGACATAGCCAATTTGTACAACATGCGACTCATTTTATGTGAAAAAAGTGACAATGTTAATGAAATGAAAGAAAAAATTGGAAGAAAAAAAAATTGCAAGATTGCCAACCTCCAAGTGTTTGCCATTGTTAACTAGGGGAGTCTTCTCTAGAGAAAGTTATAATTTCATTTTAAATAATCACACACTTGAAGACCAAAAAACATTTTGCAAGAACTTTATTTTGAAAAACATGGAGTTAAAATACCATTTCCATTCTCCTGTGGGGATGATAAAGTTTCATATAAAACAATGAACAAAAATATTTGGTACAAATATTCATAAAAGGGTAATGGAATCCACATTTACAGTTGTGAAATTTATCTACACTTATCTGTAATTAAAAGAAATCAAACATTAAAAAGGATCTCTTGGTCAAAGCATTCTGCCGCTGGAACATTTATTCATCGATTTACCTAACATTTAAGCGCAAAGTAAGTGTCAGAACATCCCAGCCCTTCCAAGAGCTGCCAAGATGCTAGGACTGCAGGGAAAGGGAACACGCTCGGCAATACAAAGTCTTCTCAGAAACAAAGCCCTTCAGACCAGGATGAGATGGCCAAGTGCCACAGGAAGATATTAAGAGAAAGGAACAGGTCCACCCCAAAGCAAATAAAGGTGGTTTACCAAAGGAGCAAGGGAGAGAAAGGAATGCAAAGGGGAGAGTCTCACTGTGCAGCTGGGATGGTCTGAGGACCCAACTCTGGGAACAGGTGTCTACTTGCAGCCTCTATGTTTGTTGCTACATGGCGCTAACAGCGAGTAGGAGCAGGAACTCTCAGACAGACACAATTGTCTTTTCTTCATTTTACTGCACAGTGTCTAAGAACCCTCCCAGGGGAGCCAGAGCAGACAACTCACCTGAGGGCAAGTACAAACTCCTCCCCAGAGGCAGCTCTGGAGCCTGAGCATCCTCAGTAAACCTGTCGCACTCCTGGGCTCTCAGGTGCTGTTAGTTGGTGTTCCTCTGAGGGATGGGGAGGTTCTCATGAAGATATTTCATGCTCCCATGCTCCGAGAAGTCAGACACAACATGATTGTCCCCTCTCAGCAGCCACTTTGTAGTTAATAGTCCCTCGATCCCCACTGGTCCACGGGCATGGATACGAGAAGTACTGATTCCAACCTCGGCCCCTGCAGCAGCGGGAGATAGGAACACAAGATGAAGCTGGGTTTTGTGCACAGTTGGCTCTTTGCTGGAAGGAATTTCTCTTATTGCTTCAGTGCTACACAGTTCTTGCATCTTTTCCAAGACGAAGAACAGCCAATAGTGCATCCTTTCCATCCCATTTCCCCCAAGCAGAACTCAGCTTACATTTTTTTTTAAAAAGGGAGGCAAAGTAACGTCTCTCTGTCTACAACCTGTTTTTCCAGAGTGAAACAGCCCTTATGGAGCCAGCTGGAAGCTTTTTTCAAAAATTGAAGTGACATCCTTACAAAGCAGAATCAAGATTCAGTTTGTGTTCTGAAAGTTTCACACTCTGTAAAAAGCTCTGCCAGGATATACAGCAGGGATGCTCAGAGCAGGAAGCAGCTGCCGTAACTGGGCAATATCCTACAGACATCCACAGAGCTTGTGACCAAGGCCATCCTGTGCATTGCTGCTCCAAGCAACAGCGCTTCGCTCACACTGAAGGCTCGCACTGGGAGCCTTCTGCAACTCCCACAAGGCTTTGTGAGAGGAGAGAAATGGAACTGCTCCTGGAATTTCTCAGGATACCACACCCCCACATACACAGCCCCTTTCGATTCTGGGACTGTAGTGGTCAGCAGCCCAGCCTGCGAATGCAGGTGAAAAGGTGTTGCACTATGCCAGACTGCATGCGTACACATGTGTGTGAGGTATTCATTCATCTCCAGGTGTAACAATCCTCACGGAAGAGACCACTGAATCCCCTCTGGAATTGAAGTGAAGGAGAAGACCATATGTTATCTAAGCATGGTCATTTTAGGGTCTTCTCCTGCTATGCACTAAACTAAACTAAACTTAACACCACACAGCCTCAAGGCTAAGGCCTTTAGAGGTTACTCAGTTCCACAACAGAACATCTTTTCTCCCTTCCTAACTGACTCGCCTTCCTAATTAATCCAGGTGGTATAGTGTACTTTCTGCTGCTGTCAAAGTTAACTACACCCACCAGATTTTTATCTGCTAATCCTTTCAGCTGAAAGATCCTAATGTCTACTTCTGCTACAGTATCTTCTCTAAAATCCTTCCAGGAAGCTCTAGGCAGAGGAGGTACAGCCTCATCTTCCAGGATTCAGGCAGGTATCTGCTAGGTGTACAAATCCCAAATTCAAATCTGCAACCCAAGCAGAGCAAAAGAACTGCTCCTGCTCCCTTACCAAGCCCAAAGCGGTATCCATCGGAGAATCGGGTGCTGGCATTCCAGAACACACAGGCACTGTCCACGTGCTGCAGGAAGTACTCTGCCGTTTTCTCTGAGGGAAACAAACAGATGCAAACTGATGTGAGCATTCAGAGATCTTCAGTTATGTGCGCAGTGCAAGAACCTGCACAAACCAAGTTGTGCAGCACAGCATTAGGCAGATTAGTCATGACCAAACCAATGCTGACAGCCCTTTCACCACAGCACACAGATGTCAACTCTACAGGTCTGCAGCCATGACAGTAAGAACGATCAAGAGAGGTTCTGTCCTAAGTAGCTTCTGGGCCTGGTAGCCTTACATGCCATGAAAGTGCACATCAACCACCAGTGCCTGAAGTTTGACAGCACGAGCTGATGCACTGAACTGTGCAGGGCACTGACCATTCTCTGTGACGATCACATCTGTGTGAGAGCTTCCATATTTGTGGATATGTTCAATGGCTTCCTGGACACTGTCCACCACCTCGATGCAGCATTCCAGGTCTCCGTATTCTGTACGGAGAGACTTCACTTCTGAAGGGCTGAAAGTCAAGTAAGACGCAAACCTAGGGCCAGCATGAATCTTCACCTGTGAGGACAAAATATGCATCAACTCACCTCTCCGAATACCTTCCACACAAAACAGCTGCCCCCAAGTTAAATATTCCCTAGAAATAAAAAGCTGGCTGCAGCACAGATTTCTTGCCTTATGTAGACCCTATAGACAGTTTCAGGTCATAAAATGTAAAAGCCATTTCTGGGAATTTTATGGCTCAGTGAATTAGCAACAGGATACTGAACCTGGGTCATGGCTGCCAACCAGCTGAACATGAACTGCCAGCACAATATGGTAGCTAGAAGATGTAACGTATTCCTTTAACTATGCATCAAGCAAGAGTAGAGAGGTGAGAGTACACCCAGTACAGCAGTGGTGAAACCATTCTGGGAACACATGTCCAGTTCTGGTACCTTCACTTTAAAAGGAATGTTAAGAATTAGAGATACTTCAGAGAAGAGCTATAAAGAATGAATCAGAAATACAGAGAAGATCCCTTACAACAGAGACTCAAGCGCAATTTAGTTCGTTTAACCAAAGTGAAGATTATGAAGAGATTTAAGTTCACGGCCTGGCTGCATGAACAAGCCCCTGCAAGATCAGCTTGGATAAGTGATCACAGAGCATCAGCTACACCACAGTAACTGCTAGTGTTCCTGGTCTTGCCCTGCAGAGAAAACATAGTACTTGTGTCAAGCAAAACAAGGCAAGCTACTCTGCGTCTGTCGCGAAGCACTAATGCTGCTGGGAGCCTGCAGAACCAGAGCTGGGTGTCTGTCTAATATTTATTTAACTGCCACTTGTTTGATACACAAATACTGGATGAAACTTCACATCCTTTGTGACAGACCGACACCACACTAGCTTAACAGCCCCTTCCCGCTTGCAGAAGGGAAGCCCAAGTCTGTGGAGAACTGCCAGTGGGGCTCACTGGGCAGCTTTCTGGGTCACATGGTTTCCCTTGGACACATCCCCTCAGCTCCCCTGTTACCAACACATGTGGTCCCAACTTTCCCCTCTGACCCTGTGTTTTCTGCACAAATACCCACAGCCCGCATGTCCTAGTGACATAGCACCAGCTGTGTCAAGTACCTGTTAATTAGCATTCAAGGTCTGAGCTGGGGGCTTAATCCTACAGCTCTCTGGAGCCCAGAGAAATTAAGCACACAACTACAAAGACTCCTGAACAGATGCTGCTGGAACTGCAATGTCTGCAAGATGCCGAGAAAGTCGTTCAAGAGCTTCGCTCTGCAGATCCTGCATAGACACAAGGAAAGCAGAACAGGCAGAACCAAGGACAGGTTGACAAGCATGGGTGTGGGGTAAGTCTGGGGGGAGGAAACAGTGCGAAACAGGGGGCAAAAACAAAGAAGGGAATTGAGCGTGGTTAAGATAAAGATGAGTGACAAACCTCAGGCACATGAGGGGCCGGTCTGGTGGACTAGCACCAGGACATGAAGAGTCAGGACCAAAAGCTTCTGCTTCCAGACACAGCAGAGAAAGGGAATACAAGCAGCACCAGAGAAGGAGCGCGATGCACATCACAGCTCAGCAACACCAGGTTCATCTCTAGGCAGAACCTGAGGGTTGGGGAAGCAGGGCCCCAGAAGCCCATTTCTGTATACCATAGCGCTACTGCAAATGCCTCTAACGTCCCAACCAGACTCCTAAAGGCTAGCAATTGTCCATAGCAAAACAGGCGGTGCTCACTGACCTGCTCCACTCTCAGCATGTCGATGATCTGATCAAACAGTGGGGTTCGCAGCTGGTCCCGGTGAATCAAGAGCGTCTCCAGAGCATTGCAAGCAGCAGGATATTCACACTTTGAGTCTCTGACTACGGTGCAAGAATGGACAATGGTTACAAGCTGCTCCTTGCACCCTCTTTCAAGCCTTCCTAATGAGCAAGCCTGAGTATCATGTACTTATGAACCTATGTCTTAAAACAATACAGACATCTCAGCTGAACTCAAACACAAGAAGCCTCTCCCACCTTACCTATCCTTGTGACCTTCTCAACACTGGCATCTGCGTCCACATATACATGGCAGATCCCTTCACTGTGCCCCATCACTGGGATCCCTTTAGCTGCTTTCTGGATGTCCCTAACAAGCTGAGATGACCCGCGTGGAATGATCAGATCTATCAGTTTGTCCAAGCGGCAGAGGTCCTCTACTTCCTCTCTGGTATTCACCTGTAATAAATAAGCAGCAGGTTTCTGAGGACTAAAGGAAGCTCACAGGATCTCTGCCTTGAAGCATTCACAAATGGGCTTCACTTATAGCACGTGCACACATCTGCCAGATTCTAGACTGGCCTCCAGTACTCACCAGCTGCACTGCATCTTTGACCCCATGGATAGAAAGTGCTTCCTGTGTCAGGTGGTGAAGGATCTGATTGCTATGTGATGCCTCCCTTCCGCCTTTCAGCAATAAACCATTTCCACTGGCAATGGCCAAAGCAGACACCTGCCAAAGGGAGAGAAGACATGAGCACTACAGAACATCAGCATAATGCAGACACCACTGGGCAAGTACCAGATTCCCCCTGCAACCATGCTGACCCTGTTGGAGTCATACCATCTTCCAGGCCACTCTGCCCAGGGAGCTATTTGGACAGACATAGGATGCACACAGCTCCAAAGCTAAATACACTTCATGGACAAGTCTCCAATGTCAAGGTGGTGCTGGCAAAGGGGCTAGCTGTGGATGGATGTCCCACTGCAAGGGGACACCAATGTATCACCAATGATACATTGGTTCTCCTCTGCACCAATCAGTCCTTCCAGCTGCCTGAAATCACTGAAGCTCTCCACGAAAGGAAAAGTCCTGCTTCTACTACAGTGCCTAAACTGCAAGGGTCTTTGTACACACCACAAAATTGGCCTTTAAAGCAGCTTAAATGCCCTTTTGCATCACTTTAATGGCATTGCTGTTTGCACGCTCAGCAGTGTATTCCACTGTAAATGACTTTGTAATATAGCAAGGTAAAACACCTTTGTGGTGTTTTAGTTTGCTACCTAACAAAGTGCAACAGTGCATGGGACGCTGAAACCCAACCCGTGCACTGTCCCCACCACCTTCTCCCACCACCAGCACACCCAACTGCCCTCCTGCCACCTTGCTGCTCTGCCCCAGGGCCAAGCCAGCCATTCCCAGGTGGCCGCACCCACAGAGGGAAGCACCGGGCCCCGCACTGCTCAGGGGCTTTGTGACCCAGCAGCAGCCCGTGCAGGCAGGCAAGAGGCCAGAACCTCAGTTTAGAGGAGTCCCAGCAAGGGAACCTTTCAGGAAACATTCAGGCACACGGCTGACCACCCCCTGCATCAAGAGAATCCTCCCCGACTCCTCCCCTGGTAACAACAGGCAGCTGCAGCAGTTCCACGTGCTCTTGCTACGTACCTGTGGGAGGCAGTCTGGGCGGGACTCGAAGATCACCAGCAGGACGCCAATGGGCACTGTCACCTGCTCCAATTCCAAGTCCTTTGCTATTCGCGTCCGGCGAATGACACGGCCCACACTGTCCTGCGAGGATGCTGCAATCTGGCGCAGACCAATGGCCAAGCTGTTCAGCTTGGACGTAGACAGACTCAGTCTCTTCATGAAAGGAAGCGCCAGTCTCCCTGAAAGAGGGGAAAGCGATTTAGCTGTGCTGAACAAGCACCACATTTGTTGGAGACTAGACTTATGCATTTGGAGGAACCACTAAGTGTGAGCTTTAAAGGACAACAGTGGCTGGTCCTTGGTTCCTTGTAGACGTATCTACCATAGAGGCAGCTAGCTGTTGTTCAAATGTTGCAAAGATGCTCTTGCTAGGGATGCATGTAGGGTCTACCCTGGAAAAACTGAGGGGTCACTGCAGGAGGAGGAGGACAGATATCAAGAAAGTGAAACCTGACTCACTGAAGGGCAATGAGCAACTGTGGCACAAGAGCCAAATACAGAGCTAGGTGTCTAACAGTGACTAGTATAAGGTAGAGAAGCTCAAGAAAAACAGCGATGGGTGAGACGGGCAATAGGAGTACACCCCTACCTTGGCCATGCTTGTTATTGGTGGGTCATTTCCTGGGGGTGAGATTATTTTGGCTCTATCAGTTTAGCAGCGAGTGCGCTCAGCACAGCTGCATGCATAGCTCACCCTCTGAAGGTGAAGTTTAAAGCAAGACACCTTTACTAACATCTCAGACATGACAGGAGAGCTCAATGTTTCTGCCCTTTTTAAAGAATTCCTGATGCTGCTAAAATAATAAACTCGTAGAAAGGCTTTGCTGTGAATGGATACATCCAGGCACAAACCCACTGCCTGCCCCAACCTACACTTTGCACACCTCTGTGCATCCTTCATGAAGGATGCAGGAGTATAATGTAGAAATGATTCATGATGTGAGCACAAGTCACCTGTCCCACATTCAGTCCATCCCAGACTTCTCAGAATAGTAACCTGATGCTGATTAAAGGCATTGCACCAGTTGCTTAAAGTAGACTAAGCCTAGTTAGTACACGGATGTTGCTCTTTTTGGAGAGCATTGTGTCACAACTGGCTTGGCCACAAGAGATGGAATTCACCACCATGGGGCACAGCATCCTGTGTTGGCCACCACTGCTAAGGAACATGAGGTGTTCGCCATGTCATGGCATCGCTCTCATGGGGACTTGGAGCACTGTCAGTTTTCGTACACCACTGTTCAGCACATTACCTGGCTGTGGTGTCCAATGCAGAGAAAGTGTTTCCTACAACTTTCAGAGCTACAGCTGCCTGCACTCAGGGCTTTCAAGGTCTTGGATTTGCTCCTCAGTGGCAGCCAAGAGGAAGGTCATCCCACAGAGCTCATTCCCAAATTCCTCAAGCCCGGAAGCAGAGAACATTCCCATCTCCCTGCTCTCTTGTGCAGACCCAGATGCACTATGTCAATGTAGCTGGCACATGTTACCTTTGTTCTCAGCTTCTTCCATGTCTTTCTTGTTTGCCAACAGAATTTCTTCTCTCTGGTCTGTCAGTAAGTCAGCAAGATGATAGATAATATCAGCTCTCTAACAGGAATAAAAAAGGGAATTCCTCTTATCATGGTAAACTCGAAGTAGCTCATAGTACTCTGGCTTCTGGTCCCTTCCAGCTCTGAACGGCACATCTTTGGACCTCACAGTTTCCTCCCTGGTTTGGCCCCCAGTTCCCCTCAGAGAGCTGACAGCTCTCAGCTTTCTCTTTGCTAGAAGTGGGACTGTATCACTTACTCTGCCATCTCCATTTCTGGCCTTTGCATCTCTTTGCCTTTCAGGTCTCTGCCTTCTTTCCCAACCCCAAGACCCTCTCCCTTTAAGACACTCCTATTTGCAGCTATAGCAGCCTTGTTCTTCATGGTGGCTCCCCTTGATCCAACCCAACTGTAACGCTATGGTGCACTCACTGGAGAACTGCACACAGGGGCACCCTACGGACATTGTGAGAATTCTCTTAGCGGAAGCAGCTGGGGCAGCCCACTCCTAGGTGCGTCTGAGGCATTGCCTACCGACTGTGAGAGTTTGTATTAAAATAAAGCAGTTATTTAGATGATGAAATACATATAAAACACAAGGATTCAAACATGCGTAACTTCCTAACCACAGCTCTGTAGCCCATCCACCATGCCATGCCCCTTCCCCTCTCCTAATACAGTACTAAGTGATGAGCTTGACAGAAAAGCAAGAACACAAGCCCTTTTGAGCAGGGACACATCTTAACTGTTTCCCAGAAAACATACTGCACATTTGTGGATTCTAGTAAGATCTGAGGTCATGTAGCCCTGTTACCTGTTCAGGTTGTAATGCTGCCAGGGTCCTGCCACCAGCTCGAGCCATTTCAGCCTGTTGTTCTACAGTAGGGCCTATGAAAACAAGAGTGTGCACACTGGATATAATTTTAACTCCAAGTTAAAGCATATACAAAAACTAAAACTCCTCATCACAGCGACCATCCACCAGGCAAGAAAAGATACACTGGCTAAAACCTCTCACCCTTTCTCTCAACACATGGAAGGGTGCACATGCGGTTCCATGTGCACATCCAAGAAGCTGCAACTATACCCATGCAGAAAGTGACATCACAATCATGCCTAATTATATTCATGTTTAGTGACCTGAGGAAGAATGTCTTGCATTCAAAAGAAAGCTTGTCTATCTCATTTCCCAGCTACATAGTTGGTCCATTAAAAGATGTCACCCTAAGGAATCCTTGCCTCTTAAATATATTCAGGTAAGCTTGGGGACTTGCAAGCAACAGGAAGAGACAGAAAAATATTCCTAGGTAAAGACAGTATCAGAGTGGTAAAAACCTTGTAAACAGACAAAAACCATAAACAAAAACGTTAAGAACTGGGAGCATACCCACCTTTCCTGATGTGTTCCTCCTCTGACCATCTCCCTGCTCTCTTGTGCAGACCCAGATACACTATGTCAGTGTAGCTGACCCATGAGGATACCTTTGTTCTCAGCTTCTTCCTCGTCTCCCCTAACCCCACAATCCAATATCTCAGGCTCTTCACAATCCTTTGCCCCTCCCCAAATGATCTCTGTCATTCCAAGTACCTGCAGAGGACTTCTATACTCCCTCCTGTCACTTTTTGGCCTAGGTCTTCATCCACAGTAGTGCAATCTGTTAGCAGTGGTTAGAGTAAGGAGATAGCCTGGACTCCTGAGATCATTCCCAGCACTAGGAGAGGAGTAGGACCAAGTGTACAGTGCAGAAGGTACAAACCACGAGCAGGCCAAGATAGTTTACTCTATTTGGGAAAGAAGTCAGACAAACTAGCATTTGTACCTAAAATGTTTGTCTAACATCTCTTCCTACTACTGAGTTGTTCCATTAAGAAATTGCCAAAACAAATCTAGCTTCTCTCATATTCCTTAAGCCATCACAACTACAAAGACCACTATTAAAACAGGCAAGGCACAACTTTCAGAGCTCAAAAAAGGAATTCTCAGTTAATACAGTATCTCTTTGGGTCACTGCTGGGATTGGTTCTCAGTCCACTGTCGTTCAATTATTTTTAAATCAGCATCTAGAAATAATAAATTCATGTCCAAGGAATGTCTCTCTCTCAGACACATGGGACAGCAAAAAAGAAGGATAAGTCAATACTAAAGAGATCTGATCACCTAAAAGGCAACATATCTTTTTCAAAGACATAGGAACAGAGAACATAGATTGTATCTATAGGAAAAAAGGATTGTAGTCTGAAAAGCAGTGGCTCTGAAAAAGGCTCAGGTGTTGCTGCAGAAGGCAAACTGAACATTAACTCCCAAGCTCAAGGTTTTGGGATAGCCAGCTAACACAATGCTTTGATGTACTATGAGGAGACCACCAAGTAGGATTAGAAGGAGATCTTGGTCTTACCAAGGCCGTGCCAAGGTAACTTTCCAACCCCGTATGGAAGTCCTGGTGTCTCCATCTTATACGGATAAGAGAAAATGGCAGAAGGTCCAGAGAACAGCTACAGAAATGATTTACACTCTACAAAAGTGTGCCTTAAGAAGAGAAGTTTAAGGAGTTCAGTTTTTTTTAACTCACTAAAGAAAGGTTGAAAGACAATTTAATGATAGCCCATCAGTGGTTGTACAAGGAGCATACAAGGGACTCTATCAGATCATAGGACCATGGGAAAGTAGGGCTGGAAGGAAACTCACAAGGTCATCTGCTCAGGGTAGGATCATCGCTGACTAAACCATCCCAGGCAAGCGTCTGTCCAAAGTACTCTTGAAAACTTCCATGGATAGAGAGTCTACGACTTCTCTAGGTAGCCTATTCCAACGCTTGACCACCTCACAGTCAGAAATTTCCTCTGCTGTAGCTTGAGGCCATTGCCCCTAGTCCTGTCCCCCATGGCCAAAGGGAAAAACCTATCTCCATCCTCTCAGTAATTGCCCTTCAGGTATTTAAAGACTTATCAAATCCCCCTTCAATCTTCTCTTCTCCTGAGTTTCTTTCAGCCTCTCCTCATAAGTCTCATCTCCCAGGCCCCTGATCATTTTTGTTGCTCAGGATAGGACACACACCTCAGATGCCCTCTGGCCAAGGAAACCAGGGGTCTTGAACCCACAGCCTTAGCCCCAGGAGGCCAGCAGGCACACTGCCGCAGCACAGCTACAGACCCTACAGATGGATACACATCTTTTAAAAATGATCTGCTAGCCTCACAAAGTACATTTTTGTCAGTTTCTTACAGCTATAAATAAAGTTGTAACCCATCTTCATCCCCCTAGGAAGCCTTCCCCAAGCCCCAATATCTACAAAGAATGCAAGAAGTGCCATGCCAGCATAGGCAACTGGTGGGGGGGCACAGAGGGGCATGTGCCCCCCGCCCCCTGAGACTGGCTGCCACCGCTGGCTTCTGTGGGCAGTCCTGCTTGCCCCCACCACACCGCCGCTGCCAGCTTCTGTGGGCAGTCGCTGCTCGCCACCCTGCCACTGACACTGTCACCCACTGTCATCCCCCCCCAGTCTCAGGAGGCACCAGTCACCCACGTATGCCAGGTCAGACCAACTGTCCATCTAGCCCAGTCGTCTGTTTCTGACAGTGGCAGGAGACGGACAGCATATGTTACAAGGTAGATCTAGAGTGATCCATCCCTTGCCATGCTCTCCCTGGCATCTGCCACCACTGGTTTAGAGATGCCAGAAACCTTCAGCCCTTCACTCAGTCCTCATCTCCAAACTGCCCCACATACCAGCTTACCTGCAGGTTTCACTTCTGAAAAAAAGGTGCCAACTTTTTTCCCTTCCACAATGTCCGTGATGACGTGGCCAGAGATCTTTGGGTGCGTCCCATTTGCAATGACCACAGAAGTGCCCCCTTGGAGGGCCCACAGAGCAGCCTTTACCTAGAAGGAAGAAAGCAAACACTGGGGGAAAAAATCTTCATGCCAAGCAAGCATCTTCTTTCAGAGATTATCCCTGCTTCATTGTAGGGATTGTAAAACCCTGCTTCGTTGTTTTAGATTGTAAATCCTTCACGACAGGAACCATCTCCTCACACACCTTTGGGAGCATACAAACACAGTGTAGGAGCTACCACAGGCTAACCCAGGTTGAAAATAGATCATTTATTCTTGCTAAATTTTATGGGCTGGAATCTAGCCAAGGCCCAGAATAAGAAAGAAATGCCCAACAGCATGCTGACAGAGGCTTTTTGAAGATGCAAATCATAACTTTTCCTGCACCGCTATTTCGTTGACACACAACAGCAAGCATTCTGCTGAGTGGAAGAGACCGTTTTCCTTCACAAAAGCTCTGCTGGTTTGTCCCCATCGTGTCATGCTCATCCAGGTGTCTGGAGTCCCTTTTTTAACTTCTGGCTTCCACCACTTTTCCTGCCAGCAGAAGGGTCACTGGTGTTTGTTCTCAGCACCGCTGGACATGCCTTTAAGGCATCGCTGCCCAACCAAAAACCAGCAGGTGATTTAATGATGGGCAGCATGTCTGTCAAAAGTTCAGCCACATCCTTCCTCCACAATTCTTGGATTTTATCCTCTCATCTTTGGTAATTTGGAACTGTCGATTCTGAAACGTCACCGCCATCACCTCGGTATGTGCTAAGGAAGAAGGATGAAGAGCTGACTCTCGAGACTGTCTGATACTGTCTGTTCTGTACTCAGCATAATGACAGCCTGTTCTTGTTTGGTTCCTAGGCACCATCATAGACAATAAACCTGATTTCTATGTCCTTACCTTCCTAAATTACCCCCCTGAAGTCCAGTGACCAGTGATTTTCTGAGGGTCTCCAGCTTCAGATCTTGAAGGATTGGGTACTGTTTCTATCTCTTTGGTAATGGCTCTTCAAAGTGATTTTAGTTCTTTGATTTCCCTCCCCAATTTACCTCATGTGCTGTACTCCTTTACACCAGTCTCACTGGGGCTGGATCACTGTCTTGCCTTTCAGTTTCCTTTTGCATGCAAGAATGCATGTTCTGACATGGCCATACCACATACAGTTTGTTAATCTGAGGCCTTCTATTTTTTCATTTTTGGGTTCAGACCCTTTCCACACGTTTCCTCATTGTCTATTACTAAGTGCCCTATGCTAGGTGCTATTCAAACATGGAAAAACTGTAAGCTGCTTGGGAAAGGGACTCAACATGTTGAACAGGCAAATGGGTAACAAAAGGAAATGATGAGACAATATTGCTGATCTGGGATAGCAGCCTTAGCCCGCTGCCCGCCCAACTGCTTCTGAGTTCTTGTACACTTCATGTCAAAGGAGAGTTTGAAAGAGGGATGCAAAGGAGGGACCTTTGCAGATGTGAATAGGGAACTCTTTGCAGATGGGCAAGGCAGTGTGGGAGTCTCCCGTCTGCAGTTTAGTGGCCAAGCACAAATTCTGATATCTATGATGTTTAATGCAATTAAACTATGGGCCAACATTTACTTGAAGCAGCTCATGTGTGATCATAGATTTCACAGACATCAGGGCTGGAAGGGACCTCGGAAGATCATTGAGTCCAGCCCCCCGCCCAAAGGGCAGGAAGTCAGCTGGGGTCATAGGATCCCAGCAAGATAAGCATCCAGTTTCATCTTGAAGGTGTTCAATGAAGGCGCTTGAACCACCTCCGGTGGCAGGCTGTTCCAGACCTTGGGGGCTCGGACAGTAAAGAAATTCTTCCTTATGTCCAGCCTGAAACGATCTTGAAGTAGTTTGTGACCATTCGACCTCATCATCCCTTGGGGCGCTCTGGTGAACAAACGTTCCCCCATATGCTGGTGGTCACCCCTGATAAACTTGTAGGTGGCCATCAGATCACCCCTGAGCCTGCGCTTTTTCAGGCTAAAGAGCCCCAGGGCTCTCAGCCTGTCATCGTAGGGTCTGCTTCCCTGACCTCTGATCATGCGCGTGGCTCTTCTCTGGACTCTCTCAAGCTTCTCCACATCCTTTTTGAATTGTGGAGCCCAAAACTGGACACAGTACTCCAGCTGCGGCCTCACTAAGGCCGAGTACAGGGGGAGAATGACGTCCCGGGATTTGCTGTAATTTAAAGTTTACAGCTGCGCATGCCAGGACCTGAGAACTGTAATGCTGAATTCAATTCTCAGCTAATTTAGTGAGGATATAATGGATTATCCAAAACTATGCACAGTTTCTATGGGCAGTTATTTGATGAGGATCGACATTTAAGGAACAATTACGGGGCCATTAAAAAAAAGCTCCTAAAACCATGTTTAAGTACTTAAGAGTCCCACATTTCAAGAGAAGACTCCTATTAGTTCCCATTGCCATCAATGGGATGTGCTGGCAATGCTCAACATTTTTCGAAAATCAGGACACTTGTTTTAAATATAAACCTTTATATTAAAAAAAAAGCTTTATCTTCACCTGATCATTATAATTCTAATAACGATCAGGATTTTAACTGTTACACACGATTCCTGGATATTCCCTGACAGATTTTAATATTCATGCACTGTGGTTTAAAAACAAATCTCTAGAGTAAAAGATGATTCAAGAGCTAATTTTATTGTGTGCAATATTCTTGTCTGTTAAAGACATCTGATATAAATTGCCTTAATTTAAAAACTACAACAAAAATCTATTAGACTTTCTTGTTAAATTAAACCTTCTCAAGAAGACTTGATTAATGTTATACTGCATTAATTAATTTGAAATCTGTTCTCTTTGCATTTAAAGAGCTATCTAAGCACCTTTCCTTCATTCCATTTTCAATCATATGGAATATACTAAACAAAATAATAATATATGTACGTACAGATATGGTACTTTAAGTTAAGACCTAAAACCTGTGCTCCTTTCTATAGTAATGGATAATGAAGAGCTCATAGTAATTTTTATGAGATAACTTGTCTTTATCTTTTCACCTCATCTGCCAAGGGCACTGGATAAGCATCTCACAACACCCCAAAGGTAGCAGCAGTTCATTGGTGTTGTGAGCCTATGGCCTCCTCCCAGCTTATCTGCATAGCCTGGCTTATTTGTGGCTGCCTGCCCAGTCCAGAAAGAAGCCGTAGTGACAGCAGTGCCCAGGTGGGCAGGTTCCCCTTCCCTGCCTGCTCTTCCATGACAGTGCTAAGTAAGCCAGAAGCTATGGGAGAGGGGGAGAGGGGGAGGCAAGTAGAGGGTGCCAGGGAGGGGAATGGAAGGCCTGATCTGGGTGATGACATCATCAGATGTGAAGCCTGCCGGGCACTCCAGCCATGAGCAGGGAGGTGTTGGGAAATACATGGAGTGCCCGGCTGGCTCCACATCTCCCCACTCACGGCCATGGAGTGCCAAGATGGGGGCAGGTAAGACTGAAGCAGCTCTAGCAGCCCTTAAGGGAAGCCACACATGGAGGCACCAGCTGGGAGCAGGGAGATGTGGAGCCAGCTGGGAACTCAGTGTTGTTAAGTCTAAGGAGGCAAGGGGAACCCATGCCTCCAGAGCTGTATTGGGGGGCAGGCTGTGGGCTTAGCTCCCTCCCTGCTTCCCTCCCATGGGGCTGCTGTAGCCCTGCAGGCAAGACCCAGCATGGCTGGGAACAGCGGGGCTGCACCAGGATGTCCTTGCACTCCCATCATGCCTCCTGCACCTGCTGCCGCTCTGAGTGACAGAGCCCTGCGCCGCTTCCTTCAGTGCAGCCTCACATGCAGGAGGTGCATTGCTGGGGCAGCGTTGAGTGAGCAGCCATTAGGAGATTCCTGCATGGCTCCTCTGTCCCCAGCCACACCGGCTCACAGGCAGGGGGGCA